TTCCTTTAGAGACAGCATGAAAAGTCAGCTGAGTACAAAACATAGAGAGGAAAACAAGAAGAAAAGGGACAAGAAGAGAGGGACACAACCTAGAACGGATGATGGATGTCTATTCTATTAACATTTCTATATCTGGAGAATGGGTCTGTTTTATGTGTTGTTTTCTCAGTTTAGAGGGGCCCCTGCCTGTCTTTGCCGAGGGCCCCAGATTTCCTGATCCGCCCTTGCGTGGTTTAAAGGCTGACCTGGGTAGCGCTTTGGCTAGCTGTGCTCAGTAGCTAACAGATTAGCCTCTTTCTGCTCGCTCAGTAACGACATGTCAACAACAACTGTTCATTTTCTCCAAGTAAAGCAGCTGTTTGTTTTCTTTGTCTAAAATCTCCAGTCCCTTTTTTCACTGTTTATCGTCCTCTGCCATCAGATCTTCATCAATAGAAGTACTGAGGCTTTGTCTTGGTAAATATCACAGCTCAGTCTCTCTCAGAACGCAGAGCTTGCCCATTTAGTTCTACTTTCGCCTACTTTAGTGGAATGGAAATGTAAAATATCAGCAGGTGATGATCATTTGAAACGGGTGCAGTGCTGTTTGTTTGAGGGCGTATTGTGATGTTATCAGCAGGGGCTTGGCCCCGAGGAGATCTGGTTCCTACAGCGGCTTTAACAAGCTGTTGTCCTTTCAGATGCCAGGGACGGAGTTCGACCTGGACAGCGACTTAAAGACGCTGCAGTTCTACTCCATAGAGAACGGAGACCAGGTTCTGGTTCGCTGGTCCTGACCCGGTCCAGAGGGGAACCTGAAAACCTTGACCTTCTAAAACCATCATAGTTTCCAGGATGCTGCAGAAATTCCCATTTTCCATAGAAGTTCATTGAATCAGTTTTTTAAGTTTGTTATTTCTGATGCTTTATATGTTCATAGTTTGTAAACTAATCTACACTTAAAATTTTTATTTAAAGGGAAAAAAACTCCCCAAAGGAATTTTAAACCACTCTCTCTGATCACTTTAATTTCCAGATAAATTGCCTTCAACAGAGAGACTTTGAGAAATATCACACCTAATTTGTTGTGCGGGAAACTAAATAATAAAAACCAATACCTGAAATGTTTGAGTCTTTTCTTGGTGGTTGTCACTACCTGATCCATCCTATGCATGTGCAAACAGAATAACTTCCAGGCAGGAAATACTTTGTTTTTCTTACTTTTTTATTCTTTTGTCTTTTTCTAGGGGGGTTCCCGCATATTCTTCTAAAAACTAAAAAAGCAAAACAGTTAAATAGCCTTTGGAACGGTACCGTGACTGCTCTGAGTCGGTCCGATGATGACATCATGCAATACAATGGAGAGAATGTAAAACTGATCAAATCCATTTCTTCCAGAAAAGTCTTCAGTATTTTCTGTACAATGTAGTTTAGCATTGTTCAATGTTATAAGTATTTTCAGTACCGTTATTACGTAGTTTTTCTGCGATCCGGATCTTACTATTCTGTTTGTGCATGCGCAGGTAGTGACAATGGTCTCTGGGTTATCTTTCATGTTTGTTCTAAAACATGTTGCATGTTCTATTTACTACGTTTCTAGAATCTTAGAAAGTCATGGAATAGTCATGGGAATAGAAAAGCACTGGGACTTTTCGTGTATCAAATCTTCAGTAATGGAGTCTCAGCCAGTCTGCTACCAGCAGTGACCCTTAGCTGGTCCCTTTGCATAGCCGTATAGCTTTCAAATGCAGGGGCCCCTGAGCTGGGAAGGAACCGAGCAACATGGCTTCCTTTGGAGGCTCTTCCTTCATGGTGAACATTTGGTCTTCTAGATCTATTGGTTCACTTCTAGTTCTGTGTTATGGTATAAATACCGTTTATAAGCCAATAAATGATCCTACTTGGTCAACTATTATTGAAAAGTATTTTTTTTGGATTTTGCCAAAAATGTAAATTGCGATTATTTTGAACCAATATTGAGATTTTATTAGTGTTGCGCCGATGCCATTTTTTGGCCCCGATACCTGGCTGTGCTGTTCTGGCCAATACCATACCGATACCATCTGTTTGAAATTGATGTGTGTTCATATATGAAAAACTGCAGACTACTTGGATGTAAAATAATTGCCATCATGTCAAGCTGCTGCCTACCTTTGTAAAGCAGGAAAAAGACTAATACAAAGTGAATCCAGTAGAACTTTTTATTTCCTACAATAGTTGAATAAAGTTTTGGTTCTCAAAATGGTATCAGTGGCCTATTTGTTGGTAGTCGCCGATACCACCTTTTTAGAGCTGGATCGGAGCCCTGCCTGATACTGTTTGTATCAGGCAGGCGCAGTTTGGACGAACTGGACGAATTGTCACGTGCATAAAACAGGACACCAGAGAGATTGTTGTAATAAAATTAGTGCCAGAGATGGAGGATATCATGAATAGGGAAAAAAAATCTTGAGAAAAATCAAAGAGCTTGGACCGGACAAGTACAACATAGTGAAGTTTTATGAAGATTTTAACTATGAAACAGAACATTGCTTCGTGTTTGAAAAGCTGGATATCGATTTGCTAAGTTTTACAGAAACAATTGTACGTAGTGGACTACATTTGTCTGACATTCGCCTTATTGCTCAACAGGTACTGGTTGCTTTAGATTTTCTACATAGTCATGGAATAGTACATAAAGATATCAAGCCTAACATCATAATGCTGGTAGACCGCTCCTCTCTAAAGGTGAAATTAATTGATATGGGTTTCTCTGAGGAGATAAGATCAATGTCAAATATTTGTGTTAACCCTCTTCCTTTCATTCCTCTGGAGGTAAGGATGAGCAAGCTAGATGCTAGTTTGGATATGTGGTGTCTAGGCATCACTTTGATCTATTTCTACCTT